TTCAAATAATGAGTTTGTGCACATGCACAACACTCGTTCAACATGGATAACATCTTAACAAGATCTTTTGCTCTAACTTTCAAAATGCATGAAAAGTGGCACACATTTTAATTTTTAGCATTACCAAAGTCTTGCCACACAAACTTGTGCAGAAAATTTTAGAAATTCACAAAAAATTTTCCATATTACTCTCAAGTTCTACTGAAATGCAATTCAAAACTCATATACTACTCAGCCAACCCCTTGTATAGCTTTAACACTACCAACAAATTATAAAAATGTACACTGCTTTTCAAAATTATAAATAATTCTAATTATAAATTTACAATTTAGCATACACTTTAATAAATGAAGATGATCACTAATATTCCTAAAATAATGGAAACAGATGATATCAATATCCTAATAATCCAATCAATTTGCATTATGTCTTCTATTTTGTCAACAGATAGAAGACAGCTACTTTATATACTCAAGTCTAAAAAAATACTCTTCAATGTTGAGAACAGAGAATTATTTATAGGTGAACAAAGTTAATAGAAATCTGACTTCAAAGTAATATTTTACATTAATTACGTATTATACCATTTGTTCTTTTGATAGCATATCTATCTCAAAATAATTTAGTTTTATAATTTATGAAGACTTGTAACTAACTTCCTTTTTCCCTTACCAAAATATTCACCCCAAAACATTAGCATAAAGCTATATATAATATGGGGATTGCTATACACTAAAATAGAAGTAGCCAATTGAAATAAAATATTATGGTGAATGATCAGTAAGATTTAGTAAACGTGAAGACTGAATAGTAACCTCAAAAGTAATGCACATGATTAAATCTTTATACACAGAATATACTAGTAGAAATGGATCTTTTAAAAAAAACATTTAGCAACTTGAGATGTTCACAATTTGGAATACATAGAGAAGATGACTTGAATACAAACAAACTAGTTGAAATTCAATGTGGTTCACAGTAAAGATGCAGTGGCTTTCTATTTGTACAACAAAGAATCTCAACCAAAAACATATATGACTAAAATATTCTCAAGTGCAATTTTCTGGGCTTTTAAAAGAATACATACTCTTACAAACTGAATTCTTTTGCGACCCCCCCCCCCATGCATTTTAATGTTTGGCATAAATAAACAGCAAACCAGAATATATATTTTTAAAGGACTAACTTACTCATGTTCTATTTAAGAGCAACATACAACCACTTATAGGTTTTTAAAAAAGCATCCTTATATAAAAACAGTGTGTGTGGGGGGGGAGCCCTGCTATACATATGAACACAGTTCAAACCCGATACAACTGACCAATCAAAATTAGTGAATGCACTGCATCTCTCTGCAGTGGAGAGCAGCGACAAGGTAGGCTGTCATTCTGCAAAAGCTGCCCAGAATAGGCTTTCCTCTGACAAGCAGTGCCGTTCCTTTTTAGAAAATGTTGTCTCTGGAGACAGGAAGACTTCAGCATGTTAAATTACTTTCATTATGTATTTTCAGACGCTTATTGATTCCACAGGAGGAAGAGTGAGAGACTGCAGCAGCTCTAAGCAGCACTACATGTTCCATACATTAGCAGTACTGCTGAAACAATGGCACTGTACAGACCAATATTTTCATTAAGGTCTTTCCGAAGAGATGTTTATGACTCTCTTCCCAAGTCCTCTCCTAACAAGTGAACAAAATGAATCAATCAAAACTGGAAACGCTTCAACTACATCAGGAATTTATCAAATCTTCAGCGGAGGTAAGATTCCTTATTATAGTATGCAGCTGCTTTTGAACTGGCATAGTGGGTAAAATTACTTTGAAAAATAGCCTGAATTTTAAGAGTTTATTTGCTTAATTTTACTTATTGTTAAACATGTATCTTTTAGATTTAAGACATGAATATTTTATATGTAATTTTAGGATGCTATGTTAAATTCAAAAAATATTAATTGTTAATTCACTATGAAGACATCAGCTTTTAAGTCACTTCAAATATACTAAGTAATCTTAAAGTCATCAACACAGTTTTCCTTAAGAAATGCTTATTTTTCTTAAAAGAACCAGGGTTACTACTTAGCTATTATTTATTACTCAATTTTTGGTTCAATTTATCATTGGGCATGGTTATTAAAAATTATTTAATTTGCAGTTACATTTTTCAGTTTACCTTTTATATTTCAATTAAATAATTCTTCAATGGAAATTTATAATAACTTACCATAAAATCTGTTTTAATCAATTAAATTCAAACCATGTTCTAATAATGTAGCAAGTTACAATATTTTACAGCTGGAAATATTGTTCCATTTATTATAAAGAAGAGGGAATGACAGCATGTTTAATATAAGCTAATTGCTCATAATCTCTGAAAATACAGGTTAGCTTAGAAAATGAGAGCAGAAATCAGTCAGCTTTAAAAAACTACAGCTTTTCTTTCATGGTTATATTTGTGATGTTAATTCTGTTATTAAATAATTTACAATCCTTGTTAGGGAACGAGAATATTGTAATTAAAGAAACCATTAAATTTATGTATAAGCTGTGGCTATAAAAATACAGTCTGCTTACTGTGATAACAAATGCTGTATATAGTGTTAAAATAAACAAAACTAACTTCCAATTCATTGGAAATTTATTAGGAAGCCCTATTTCTTAATCCTTTTTTTTTCTTTTGCACAAGGGCCCACAGCAGCTAATTCAGTACTTACAACTGAAAATATGAAGAATGCATCTGACCGAGCATCTATCTACCTAGCTGTCTGAACTATAAATTGCAGGATATTCTTGTAACATATGATTTTAAGTTACTAAGGAGTTAAAACCAGAGAGAATAGGTCTACATTACTGCTGGGATGTAACACATCAACAGTAATCATCGACAGAAGATGCTATATAAAATAACCACAAAAAGAAAAACGATATAAGTGTAAAATCCTGAAGACAAAATGGTGAGCACTTTAAAGAGGGTGTTTATACTTTAATATATCAGAATTGTGGAGCTACTGATTCATAAAGAAACAATGAAACATGGATTACCGAAATAAGAATGCCAAATATTAACAGCAAGCTAAATGAAGCTTTAGCAAGTATTTTCTGTACTAAATATTGAGATACTTGTATTAATTGATATTACTAAAGGATTTTTCCATTGGAGTTTTATTACCAATTATATATCCTCTTCTAATGAAAACAAACCAGATTAAATAGCAGATGGTTTTTATCAAAAGAACATGGACTGGATTTATAATATAAAACAAGTTTATGTGATCGAGAAATCATTTCAAAATAATTAAGACTGCTATAGAAACAGTGTGTAACAAAAGGATGTCTAAATACATTTTAGGAGCTAGAAACCTTTTTTGTTTTCACATGTTCTGGAAAATAAAGAGACGCTCTCATATATTTCCATAAAGGGAATCATAATTCCTATCATTTGAAGAAGTTTTGCTTGGTTGTGACTTTTTAAGACAAAACAAACAAAAATATTGTTTACTGGTCTTTAGAAATCCATCAGCCAACTAAATCTCACAATTCATGCATTTGAAGTATTGGAGAGAAAATGAAAGAATGCCTACAAGACATGAAATAAAACACAGCTACTTCACTGCTGTCAGTTAAAAATTCATGTCAAAATTTGTCAATGACATCATGCATCAATTTGTGAAAAACTGCTATAGTGAACCAAAAGGCCTATAAGGCAACAGCAAACAGGTAGGTCAGAAGATGCATGCTCCCCATCACACCGTTTAACATTTACAAAAGAAAAGAATCTTGCTCTAAAGGAGATGCAGTTTTCTTCATTATCACCTAACTTGACATTTCTACTGTATTTACTTATAAATCTAACTGATGTGACAAAGACCTGATGTTTAATCTGTGAATTCAGAAAATTTGAAAATTTTACACACTTAAAATTTTCCATTTTTATAGGATTCCAATGTTAGCTAAGACCTTCACTTTCTTGAATATGTGCCTCTGGTAATATTTTATACCAAGCTCAAAAGAAATATGCCATCATTTATTTGTGCTTCTGAAATATTACTCCTAAAATAATATGCATAGATAAGATTGTATTCTAGAACTTATAAAAGGTTACATCAAGTAAGAGGTTAACCTAAGTTCTGAAAATTACTAGCCTTTATAATTTATGCTTATGATTTTGCAATCAAAATTCTGTACTCAAAATGTGAAATATAGTTGGTTGGAAGATTTTATATTTTAACTGAATATACTACTGGTTACTGATAGTTTTGTCCAGAAAATCAGACATTAGTTTTATGAATTACCCTAAATCTCTATTTATTAAAATATAGCTTTTCATAAATTAGCAAGAGGTTTTTTTTAAGTTTCCTCAAAATTATACACAGGGTGATTTATATAAAAGGTTCCAGAGAGAATGTGAAACTTTAAAAGATTCCTCAGAAAATGGGCTTCAGATACTCCTTTCCCCTAAAATTTTTTTTTGACTTTAAAATTTCTGCTTATATAAAACCAACTGATATAGTATTTTAAACCAATTCAAAAATGGCTATTTCTCAATATATTAAATTTCAATTTTCTCCTTCCACAAGATACAAGAAGGTGTGGTCACAAAATAAATCATTCATAGGAGTGATTACTGTTCCAAGCTTTGTGACGTTTTACTTTAACATATGTCCCTTTTCTTCCCATTTTTGTAATATAAGTTTGCTCACTATCAAGTTCAGTGAGCATTTTCATGATTAAATGTGAAATATCTATCCTTTGTCTAATTCTATGTGAAAACTCCAAATATCCCTAAATCACACTGTTGACTTGTGAATATGAGTTACAATTAAGAACATGAACAAAATAATTTAAAGCAAACTGGTACTCTATACCATTTACCTTCTAATCTAAATGAACACTTGTCCTGTTCATTTGAAATCTCAGGGGAATAATTATGCCTTCACTAATTATACCAGAACAAATGAAAACAATGTTTATTTCCCACCTTCTCACAACACTTTAAAATGAAATCTTAAAACACTGGGCTAAAAGCAGTTTTATTATACAAAAAAATATACTGTGTCTCAAATAATAAGTTTAAAAAACCCACATGAGTAGAATGTTTTCAGTGTATGAAATAATTATGAACTCTATAAAAGTAAACCTCATATAGTTATTTCTTCAAAGGGAGAACCCAATTTCCTTTTACGTCAAAATAATGCAACCTTGCTATTTCCTAATTCTGCTTTCCATTAATAGTTTACAAACTTAAAAATTAAACTAAGTACACAAAAAAGGTGTGTTTTTTTCCACAAAGAACACATTTTATATGTCATTTAAATTGCCAAATAATCAAATAGTTTTTCTATTTCACTTTCTAGGGAAAAAAATCAACTGCTCCAAAAGAATGTTTTTTTCTCCCATTCTGGAAATCAACATGCAGTCTGAATCTAACATTACAGTTCGAGATGACATTGATGACATCAACACCAAAATGTACCAAACACTATCATACCCATTAAGCTTTCAAGCGTCTCTCACCGGATTTCTCATGTTAGAAATCGTGTTGGGACTTGGCAGCAACCTTACCGTACTGGTACTTTACTGCATGAAATCCAACTTAATCAACTCTGTCAGTAACATTATTACAATGAATCTTCATGTACTTGATGTAATAATTTGTGTGGGATGTATTCCTCTAACTATAGTTATCCTTCTGCTTTCACTGGAAAGTAACACTGCTCTTATCTGCTGTTTCCATGAAGCCTGTGTATCTTTTGCAAGTGTCTCAACAGCGATCAACGTTTTTGCTATCACTTTGGACAGATATGACATCTCTGTAAAACCTGCAAACCGAATTCTGACAATGGGCAGAGCGATAATGCTAATGATATCCATTTGGATTTTTTCATTTTTCTCTTTCCTGATTCCCTTTATTGAAGTAAATTTTTTCAGTCTTCAAACTGGAAATACATGGGAAAATAAGACACTTTTGTGTGTCAGTACAAATGAATACTACACTGAACTGGGGATGTATTACCACCTGCTTGTACAGATTCCAATATTCTTTTTCACTGTCATAGTAATGTTAATCACATACACCAAAATACTTCAGGCTCTTAATATTCGAATAGGTACCAGATTTTCAACAGGACAGAAGAAGAAAGCAAGAAAAAAAAAGACTATTTCTCTAACCACGCAACATGAGACTACAGACATGTCACAAAGCAGTGGTGGGAGAAATGTAGTCTTTGGTGTAAGAACTTCAGTCTCTGTAATAATTGCCCTCCGGCGAGCTGTGAAACGACACCGTGAACGCAGAGAAAGGCAAAAAAGAGTCTTCAGAATGTCTTTATTGATTATTTCTACATTTCTTCTCTGCTGGACACCAATTTCTGTTTTAAATACCACCATTTTATGTTTAGGCCCAAGTGACCTTTTAGTAAAATTAAGGCTGTGTTTTCTAGTCATGGCTTATGGAACAACTATATTTCACCCTCTGTTATATGCATTCACAAGACAAAAATTTCAAAAGGTCTTGAAAAGTAAAATGAAAAAGCGAGTTGTTTCCATAGTAGAAGCTGATCCCATGCCTAATAATGCTGTAATTCACAACTCTTGGATAGATCCTAAAAGAAACAAAATTACCTTTGAAGACAGTGAAGTAAGAGAAAAATGTTTAGTACCTCAGGTTGTCACCGACTAAGGAAAAGTCTAAGTTTTACCAAATCCACATTCAGAAGTTTTAAATTTAAATTGTAAAAAAGTAAAATTACTGCCAAATATAAGAAAAAAACATTTTAAGTATTGGTTATGTTGTAAATTTTCAATGTAAATGTCAAGATTAGATTAGGTCATATATATTCAATTTCTTCATAAATTAATGTATTTGTTGCATGGCAGTTTGTTAAAGTAATATCATATGTATATTTTGTCAATATTATGTCCATCAGAAGATATTCATGTAAGTCATATTTTCTAAATAATAAATACATAGCCTTAAAACAGTCTATAACTTAAAAATATAACTGACACATTTGTATCCTTGTTTTTTTCTTTTGTAAAGTATATTGTTTCTAAGCCACAAACTATAGATATATTTATATGTCAACTGGAATAGCATTTTAACGTAAGAACCGAAATTACAGCTCCAAATAATCAAAACAATCCAGAATTTTCTGTACCACTATATTGTTTTCTGATATAGTCAACTTGCTGTAATATTTGATGCACCAAAAATAATGAACCATGTATAAAACTTTATCCTTTTTTTAAATGTAAAAATTGTAAGGTTTATCAAAATTTTAATATTCAAGAAAGAAAAACAAATAACCTATATTTCACACCAAGATAGAGAAACTTTTTAAATTCAAGTTTATTATGGAAAAGAGTTTGACATTCTAAAAACAAGGGCATTATGCCTATACTATACAAATGAACTGATAATAAAGAGAAGGAAGAAAACTAAAGCACCAGCCTCATTCTTCCTTTTCTCACTTTGCTTCAGTCTAAGCCAAATGCTTGGAATTAATATAGTCTGCTGGCAAAAACAGTGTATTAAAATAACTTTATTCAAGTTGGTCCTTTTGTGTAATAAAAGTTAATTATTAAAATCTGAATACCAGGGAGAAAAAAAGGACTCTACTATTGTAGAAAAGTTAACAAAGCCAACTATTTTTAATTTTAGATATATAGCAACTTTACAGTAATAAAATTTACACAATGTTACTACCCTACCCGTAACTCCCAAATATTTCAAAATACAGTAGTTCTATTTCCACTCTGAAAATCATTAAAATGGAAATAAACCAGTCAATTTGTTTTACTCTACACCATTCAATGTAAGCATTTTTGTCTCCAATCAACTCATGTTGGAAAATTATGAAATTACTAATCCTAACTATAGATATCAGGTTTGGGAATTCTTATCAAATATTTTTCAGCTGTAATAATCTAATAATCTATTTATGAGTACTAAGTATAACCGTATCAGAAAAACAGCAATAAATTTCTTAAAGTGGGCAAATACTTGCTCCCTTATCATTTTATTAACTAGATAATTTTTATTCTATTTTTAACACTATATTCACTAAAGTAGCAAATCGTTTTTAATTAAATTTTATATTAAACAATTCAACAATATATTACTTTTATGTAAATAAATGAAATTCATTCAGTCAAGTTTACTGAATACCCTAATTCTTGGGGAAATGAGCACCATGCAATAACTTGAATTCCCTGAGGTTACACAACAAATTCATTTACCTCTGATAATAATGCTAACAATGTCAAATCTTGGCAAAGCTGAAATTATTTTCTTCCTACTTATTTTCTACTCTTTTATAAAATTAAAGAAATGCTATTTGACAAAATATACCATAGGACTTATTTCTTGAAACCTGGAAGACAAATTAAGAATTCATAAACAAAGATATTAAGACAATTTTCATTTGATAAATATATTTGGCATAAAATATCTGCTAATATATTAACTTAAAAATTTTAAACTTATTTCATAGTTGGACTTCCAAGCATAAGTTAAAATTTTAGTATTTAGTTTTATAAACTTAATAAAAATTCAACTATTTTTAGAGTTTTCATATTAAGAGAAAACACTTTGTGTTTTAAATATTTTTAACCCTCAAGTCTATACATATGCCAAAGGACTCAGTTAAAAAAACGCTTTTCTAATATATTTGCCTAAACTACTTTCAAGCTCTCTTGTTCTCTGTAATAAGTAATCTATCAAAATAATAAATAAATGGCAAATATTAGAATGTTGCCCTCTAACTGTTATTATTTCTACACCTGACATTGAAACAGACAATTAACAAGCATCTTTGCCAACCAATAAGGATCTATCAGGTAAACAAAAGCATACCCACTAACTTACAATAAAGAAAAATCATACATACCAGACAATTTCTAATAGCTTTTTAATGTTAAATAATATATTAATCAAAATTATATTTATAAGTTTAGCTTTTAAAAAAAGACACACATGTTTGCAATTACCGCAGCTTAAATGAGAGGAGAAATAGAAAAATGTTTTTGTTAAATGTTTGTTCTATGAAAAGGTGAAAATTTTTTTCCCTTATGACGACTTTCACCACCATGTATAAATTTTTCTATTTCAAGTAACTTTAACAAAAAAAGCATTAATGGTAATTTTGCATGTTAGAATGAATTTTTTAATGCCAAAGAAACAGAAGTAACAGTAAATTCAATGTGTGAATCCTTCTTAAAATTATGTTTTTTTCTATCCATATGTCACAAACCACAAGCAAAGTTATCAATTTCTATTAGTTAACTGGTTTGGTTCTTCAAAACTATAAAAATAAGAAGTATTATTGTAAAAACTAACTGAAGATGAGCTCAACAAGATATGAAACTGTGGTTTTTCTCTTTTGTTTGATTTGTTACTTTAAGGAGGTTATTATTCTACCAACTAGCCCCAACAGATGGTCAACCTATTATGAAAATTGAATTATTTACAATTATGCTTTTTAAAAATATGGCATTGATAATAGTTCTGTACTTCTGACTCATCGTAAGTCAATTTTTAGGTATGTGGTCTATTTTTTAATACCCCAAATAAAATTACAGCGAAATCTCAGTTTTTTGGAAATTTAACTGAGATTAGACTTAAAAGTGAAAACCTAAAAAGTGAAAGAAAATAGGTTGTTAGTAGCGCTTTAGTCAGCATTGTAATTTCAAGACTACTTTGTAAAAGTCAATAAAACTTTTTGTTTTCTTACATTTTATGACTGCACATTTAAGTAAGCTTTGTAATGCAATTAACACTTTAATTCTTACAATGTGGAAGGCATTACAGCAAATACTCATATTCATATGGAGTAGAGTCATTACCTTCAGAGCTTAAAATCTAGAATCAAGGTAATAAACAGTATAGGAATATCTATCTAAAGGTAGAATGTGATAAATGCTACAAAAAGAATAAAGTTAATAGACGTAAGAAAAAGAAATTATGTTGGATTTAAAAATAATATATAAACAGTCCTGGCTGGTGTGGTTCAGTTGGTTGGGCACCATCCGGTGCACTGAAAAGTTGCTGGTTCGATTCCCAGTCAGGGCACATGCCTATCTTCAGGCTCAATCCCTACGGGGGATGTGCAGTAGGCAGCCAAATGATGTCACACTTATATCGATGTTTTTCTCTCCCTCTCCCTTCCTCACTCTCTAAAAATCAATAAGCTATTCTTTTTTGTTAAATATATTTTTTTATTGATGTTTTATTGGGGGGGGGGAGGAGAAGGGAGAGGGAGAGAGAGATAGAAACATCATTGATGAGAGAGAATCACTGATCGGCTGCCTCCTGCACACCCCCTACTGGAGATCAAGCCCACACCTGGGCATGTGTCCTTGACCGAAATCGAACCCAGGACCCTTCAGTCCACAGGCCGACGTTCTGTACACTTAGCCAAGCCAGCTAGGGCAATAAGCTATTCTTTTATTTAAAAGACACACACACAATATAAACAAAAGCACTGTTGAGGGAAACTACTGAAACATATTTTGGAAATGGTCAATTGTTTTCTTTAGAAGTTATACAGTAGTGAGAAGTACAGCTGGTAAGTTTCATTGGGGAAAAGGCAGAAGGCCTTTAATGCCAGCAGAGAAATCAGATGAGGGGAATAATACAATGAGAAATGAGCTACACAAATAATACTAATAAACAGCAATATGTAGAAAAGTTGATTGGGTAAAACTGTAACGGGAAGCTGAGAAACGAAACTGTTGCTGGGTAAAACAACAGAAGATGGAAACTATTGCCATCACCTGGATAGGTTATGAAGGCCTGGTAGTAGCTTTGCAAAGGAGCACAAAAATGTGACAGGCAATGTGAAGGCAGAATCAATAGAGAATGCCTACTGACTAGAAAGACAACTGGGATAAGAGATTAAATCATTTTAGATGGTTATAAAAAGAACCATAAGAAACAAGATTAGCCTCAATGAACTAAGAAAGTTTAAATTATGTTTTGTATAAAGTACATAAATAAAAAGAGCTAAAAGAAAAATGCATTTCTGGCAAAGCAGCAAATTCAACTAAAATAAAATCAATAATATTATTTAAGAATGTTCTAGTTATTAGAAACTATTCAAAATAAAAATTTTAAATTGATGTTTTAAAATACTATAATTTTATATATTGGTTTATTCCATTTTTCCATTAAACATATTTTCATCATCAGTAATCTTTTAATTATAAAAAATTAGAAATATAACGAAAAAATGTCAAGGTATTTAAAGTAAAAAATGTAAATATCCTTTGCTTTTTTCTAATAATGTACACTAATAAAAGACAAAGACGCTAATTGACCATACCTTCGCTATGCCTTAAGCCATGCCCACTAGCCAATCAGAGCGACTATATGCAAATCAACCCAACCAAGATGGCGGCCGGCGGTCACAGAGCTGGAGCAAGCAGGAGGCTTGGTTGCCCCAGTGATGGAGGAAGCCAAGCTTCCCAGCCACTGCTGCCTCCTCTCAAGGCAACAAAGTTTCAATTATAGAAGGTAAATAAACCCCAGATACCTGCTTCCAGTCGCCATGGCCACAGAGCTGGAGCAAATG